CACCTTCACAGCTTTTCAAAAGTCACGGAGAAATTCAATCATTATCATCGACTGAGTGTTGTACTGTCACCGAACGCAGCAAAAAAAAAAAAAGTCTTTAGAAATAATAACTGCGCATCATCGCCTTTAGATTAATATAATTTAAAGGAGGTTGGACGTAAGGTTTAATTAAAGTTCGTTACTTAATGCTTGATCAATAAGTCATTCTTCTCAGCTGCGCACATGTTAAAACTCGGTGCTTCAAATCAGGCAAGGTGTTTTTCTATTTTTATAAACTTAAGCTCGTATGATACTTAGAAACGAGCGCTTGAAAAAAGACGTAACTTTCAACTATCTCTAACATATCTAAACTTTATTCATTGATGACAAAGATTGCAGCGGAGTAAGATATAAGTTTGAATGACATATATGTAGCAAACTGTGCATCATTTATATCGTTACCCTCTAAAAAAACCTTTGATTTTTGGATTCAAATTTACTCACGTGTTAACTTATTTAAAAGCTTGTTTAGTCTTTGGAACGAAGCTCTCATAATATAATTGTATAGTTGTGGTTCCTTGCCTGGCGCAAAAATCGTTTTTAAGGAACGTAAAGGTCAACGTCGACCATTAAATTCTGTATGAAGGTACTTCATATACCTTCAACTAATGATCATCGGCAAAATAACATTGTTAGAGAGGTGGTCTCATTGTCATGACATTCACTGCGGTGCATTTTACTATATGACTTAGTTTTCAGAAACAATATATGACATCGATATTGTTTTTCTCAGCCCATGAATTTTTAAATGGTAAAATTCTGCTCAGAAAATAATCCAATGACATATATTTAACAATTTTTTTTGAAACTGTTCTTTAATGTTTTCTAAATATGCATGTCGCACAAAAAGCAAATAAATTTTGTTCCTGTTCGTTTTCTTGCCTATCGATGTTAATTTAAAACGGTGATAACCTTAAATTTTCGCAATAAACGTTAAACGTGGAAGGTCCGTTCAACCTCCAATTTTAGTGCCATTGTTTGCTTGTACTCTAGTGCGCTCCTTCTGCCCGGCAGGTGGAGACAATTGGTGACGCTTATATGGTCGTGTCAGGGCTACCCATTAGAAATGGTCATCAACATGCTGGTGAGATTGCGCGAATGGCGCTGCACTTGATCGAGGCTGTGAAGAAAGACTTTACAGTTCGTCACAAAAGTGACTACAAGCTTAAACTACGTGTTGGAATTCATAGTGGTAAGTGCAAGCTGTGTTCAGAGGTGTTCCTGATGACATGTCATCCTTAAGTGTATTTTTCTTGCCTTTTCATCGACCGAAAGCCTACAGCGTAAGCTGCAAAATGATTGGCTACAAAAAATATTGTTTACATGTGCAGTACTACTCATTTTGCACAGAAATTACATTACTGTGGTCATGCAGAGTTGTATTCATACTCGTCTGTGGCAAGGACAGATCGCTTCCCTCTGTTCATCTGCATTACCCTCTGAGAGTGCGAATTTTTTTTTTTTTTTTTCACGCTCTTCTGTATTAATGCCGGTCACCCCTTCCCCTCTCCAACTTAAGCGTTGGTTTAAAATGGCCATGTGCCTCCAAACAAGGGCTAGTTTTCGTGGTCTTGAATCTTAAACTGGGTGTAAAATTTATTTCGACATGAAATCATCGAGATGTAATTTTATAATATACATTCATAACCTTTTTACTTACTCAATTGCCAGCTGACGCCTTTCTCTTTAGGTCCTGTGGTTGCAGGAGTGGTTGGAATCACTATGCCGCGTTACTGCTTATTCGGTGACACAGTCAACACTGCATCTCGGATGGAATCGAATGGAGAAGGTAATTAAAACCTTAACATTTTGTTTTCTTTCAAGGCACTATTTACCATCGTTGACCCTCGACTAGGACAGAAAAAATTTTACCATAAGAATTCAAACATAGTGTCAGTCTTCCCGCAGCACTATGTCTAGAAACAAGACAGTGATAAAGTCAAGCGTTGGTCACGTGTGTACAAACGTCTACCCATTCGTGGAGGTAGTGATCACCCCCGCCAGTAGAGCCGCAATTCTTTGGGCCAGCGCAACGGACCAGGAGCTCTAGAGTTTGCGCAAAAGATTAACATATGAAAATTCCGAAAGTAGTACGATTTCGCACTAAATCTTCTATTAAAAAATACTTTCTGAACACAATTTACATTATTTACCTGGCCATGGAATCGTTAAATTGTCGCTAGGCCCTGCTAGAAGTCCGAGTTTTTGGTTTTCGATTAACGGCCACAGTACGTATCGCTTTAGAGAATCGTAGTTTTGTTGACCCGAGAGCTTATTCTGTCATCTTTAAGACCTTGATATCCATTATTTTCCAAACAGAGGTTTCTATAGCATATTGTTACTTTATATTCTGAGTTCCACAAGGTCTAACTCGATCATAAAGGAACTTGAAAATTTTGAAGGTCAGCCGCGCCTACGCCATATTGTCAAATTTGGTCATTTAGCGTGAATGCATAGAATGATGCCCCTCTAGTACCCTCTAAAGCCATCAAAATACATGCGCAAACGACGGATTCTGATTGGTTTGTTGATCTCCTAACAATAGAGGAAGTGTGGGGGACAAAAGTCTGCTTTGTAGGGAAGGTAGGGAGAAAAACGTTTTCGCGCGTGCCAATCGCGCGTCTCGGGCGGTTCAGGTCTTAATGCGTTAACATAAATTATTTATACGATTAATCGCTTCTGGTTACAATTGGGTCATTTCATATAACAATATCTGCTCCCCCTATATAAGAAACTAGTCTTTAAATAAAATTAGCTAACACAAGTCAATCGATTATAAATTAAGTGGTAGATACCTACGGTCATAGACTGCCTATTTTTTATCTTTTGGTCGCATTTTTAGTGTTTAAAATGTTTGTTTCACTTCTCAAGAGAGATTTTTTTTGCTATATACAGCTTTAAGAATTCACATCAGCGAGGTGACAAAGAGAATACTGGACGCTTTGGGAGGCTTTAAAGTCGAAACTCGAGGCGAGGTATTCCTGAAGGTGAGAACTGTAAAATAAGTTTAAAAAACATTTCGATAACCCGCTGGGTTGTTTCCCTATTTTAAACAATCGGTATCATTTGGCAGAACAGCCAACCATTCGACCAATCATTTTTTAGAGAATCGTAGTTTTGTTGACCCGAGATCTTATTCTGTCACCTTTAAGACCTTGATATCCATTATTTTCCAAAGAGAGATTTTGGAAGCTGGGTTTGCGAAATGGCGAGCCTGATTTCTGGTCTTTTTTCAAGTAAAAAGATTTCCCAACTATCTTTTCTAAAGCCAAATTCATCCAGCCACAGGATCACGTCTTACTATTGAACTTGAAGTTTGTCTGTGTTTTCTGCATCAAAGTTTGCGGAATCACAACTACAGTCAGTCGATCTAAAGCACTTTATGTATTTTATTAGGGAAAGGGAAATATGACAACTTATTGGCTTATGCATGCAGCACAGAAACCAGTCCATAAGCCTCGACGCCCAATACCGAATGGTTTCCCCACAGACTCTCCCCTCCTTTCCTTACCCGGATTTAAAAGTACTTTGGCGGCATCTTGCTCATCAGTATCCCTGGGACTAAGACGTTCCCCGTCACTGCGCCGTAGTCAGTTCCGTGGCTCCCAGGGGTCTCCAATTATGAAGAGATGGCAGAAAATCGAGGATGGTCCCAAGAATTCTCCAAGAAACAGCTTGATAAAGACAAATGCCAATGCTAACCAGCAGAGCATCGTATGAAAGCAAAAGTGAGAGGGAGACTGGAGACTATCTCCAAATCTATCTTACATCAATTCTAACTCTGCTGGGAGAAATTACTTCCGTGCCGAATGTGTCCAAATTTAGAAGAAACATGAAGAGAGGACAGAAAGGATAAAGCTATACGATATCGACGTACTAAGTTTCCTTCTGAGGTCCATATTGATTATTTTCTATCACGAATGGGAAGCAAAATTCATTTCTTATTTGTAATTCACAGTATAGGCACGTCATTTGAATAGGCTTGCTCCGGACATTTTGCGTTCGATCGTTAACTAATCGTGACTATCATGGACCGATTGATTCGAAGCTTTAACATCCCCCCTCCTGAGCAACACATCGGAATTTGACTTTTGAACATTTGTTTGTTCAAATTCCCGCTCATTGGGACAAAATTGTGCTCAAATGCCTACCCAAAGTTTTGTTGAAGGCAAAATCAGCAGCCGTTAGTTTCTACATTTTGATTGAGTTTTAAAACCTAGACCTTGTCCAGCTTTTCTTTAATTTTGAGCCGTTTTCTGTCTAAAGTGAACTATTTACCATTAAACACCGCCATATTTAAAGATATAACGCTTCCATTTCAAAATCTCCCTTCCCCCGTATGGACGACAAACAAATTGGGTTGCCCGGGGGATGTTGAAGCTTTGAAATGATCGGTGCATAATGCGTGTGAGTGTAAAATAACGAGGAACGAAAAGAAAATAAGATATAATTAACGTAATTTTTCGCTCATTTCATTTGGGGTCATATAATTGCTTCCATTTAAATTCCTTCCAACTTCGCAGGGGTTCTCTCTTTCTGAAACAGAGAGTAAAACACATGAGTATAAACTATTCCAAAACAACATTTAGACATCTTTTATTTTCTAAGAGTCTCGAATTCTTAATTCCACATGCCATTATGATAAAAAAAGAAAATTTTGCTCGCAAGGTTTGCAGTGCACCCTTTCGCTCATTAATGTTGCGGGGATTTCATGTGTTTTCTCACAATGAACATTTCTTATTTCTATAACATTCCGCATCCTCATCATTGGCACTTGCGCATGATGTAATTAATTGGAATAACCACTGTCAGTTTATTTGCAAACCTTGATATTTGAAGGTAATTGAGGTTGTGAAACAATTCGAATTCTAATTTCTATGACCAAATTCAAGATTTGAAATAACAGGGTATGCATTTGAAAATATTCATTTCATTGGTTTAAAAGGAAAAGTTTTGAATATCGAAGAAAAACGTTTTGTCTAAACCAAAAGAGAAAGGCTTGTTAAGTAAGGAGAGCAGGTGTTTATATAGTACAGACTGAAATGTAAATTATAACTTCCAAATTACTCTAAATAGATATCTGCATGAATGGATTGTATCTATTAAATGTGTGATATTGAACATTGCAACAAGCTCATTTAATCAGTTTCTGTAGAATGTAAAGTTGTCTACATAAGCGTTCAGTCCATGCGAGGAAATTACGATATAATAAAAACTTTTGAACGACCAGGAATGTCTCTAAATACTATGTTCCAAAACCCAGAATCAGCTTCAACGCTTTATGGTCACAGTTCCACCATCGACAATTTACACATGGAACTTTGCCTTAATTGGTCACGTCATGAACCAAACTGATAATGCTGATGATAAACTAAGCCTCCCGTATGCGACAACTTTGTCGAAACCAAACTTGACAAAGACGAGTTCATTCGCCAAAAATGCGCATCAAACGCCAAACAGATTAGCTAATTGAAAATTTTCAGAGCTACAATACATTAACTTTGTGGCGACTGTTTCATAATTACGTTGATTTGTTTGGAACATTAAATTACAACGAGATCGATTATATGCGATGAAAAAGCCACAAGGCTGAGTGATGTCGTATATAGCTTTTAACTGCCAGCCGTTTAAAGATCATTATGTGGTTTATTCAGTCTAATATATATCCGTATAACAAATATGATAGCTTATTTTAATGGTGTTGAATTAGAACCCTTTCTTCAGCTGGTTTCAAGGAGCTCAGTTCAACGTGGGGGGTTAACAAATCAGTTATCAATAATAAATAAGATAAGCTTCCTATATCGCAGGCAACAGGCGACGACGACCAAACTTGTTTGCCGTGTGTTTTGTCAAGTATTTGCGAACGACATGCTCGCTTCGTGGCTGACTCAGTTTGTCTTTGTGACGCTCACTGTATTCCTGGTGTTTGTGGTGGCGAACCAAAACTTTTGTGCAAGCGTTTTAGAAACTCAAGTGGGTAAGTAATACCCTTACAGTGAGCTTTACTATATTTATAATTTTGTTTTTTGTTTCTGCATCAACAATTTCCAACTGCAAATGTTTCCTAACAGATTTTGCCTTACTCGGTCATGTCATCAACAAAACTGATGTTTTCGACGAGTTCGAATGTAACCTAAAGTGTATTGGAAACAGGCGTTGCAAGTCGTGTAATGTTCATCCCAATGGCAATGATGCGGGTAAGCGTCTTTGTGAGCTGAATAGCAAAACCCGACAGATGAGGCCAAGTGATTTTAAACGAAAGATAGGATCTACGTACTATAGCTCAGTTCAGGTAAGTCAGAAGTTCAGTTTTAATATGTGTATATTCATTTCGAATCCAAGTAAGGCTAAAATTAACATCAATTCATCCAGGGTAATTGTGTCGATGTTTCTCATGAGCGAGAACGAAAAATGGCAGGTCAGTGTCATCCCAGATACAAAGGAAGCTGGTGTCAAACACGTAAGTACCGTAAAA